TTTATTTATTCTTTTTATTTTTCACAGCCATGGCCACAGTCAGATTTGTTTTAAAAAACAATTTATTGAAAGCAAAAGTGGTGGGCAAAAATGATCTGAGGTAAAAATGATAATCTTTCAAATTGAAAAGAAAATTTAAAGTCCAAAACAGTTAAGTGTTTATTTATTCATACCTTCATTCATTTCTTCTAGTGTATTTGATTTATCATTTATTGTATATATATATATTAACATTTTACTTTTCATTTTAGACATTAACATATCATCAAGTGATTTATTTGTTTGTTTGTTTGAGTGTTTGTTTGTTTGTTTGTTCATTTGTTCATTTATTCATTCATTCATTCATTCAGCTTTATCACCTTGGGCGTGGCTGGACATGGGAGCCTGAACCCTTTAGGAACAGGTGCCTCCAGGTGACCACCAAGGACAGCATGGAAGTGACCTGTACTTGGGGAGAACTGGACATGGAACTAATAGGTGCTTGATCTTATAATTCTCTCTCATATAACCAATGGAAATCAAAGGTGAATTAACCTTTTAATTTTTTCATGCATAACATACTGAAATAATTATGATTTGATCCAACAATCCTATAAAGTATAACGTATCGGAAGATATGATGAAATGGTCCTTTAATATTGCCAAATACATTTTGGACTATATTTTAATCTATATCATAACTTGTGAATAACAAATAAATGTGTCATCCTATTCCAGAGTGGAACTACACATACAAGCCTGAAGTCCATACCAGAGGTAAGTCTACAACATTGCTCTATTCAATCAACTTGATGCATTTTTTAATCTTTTAGCAAGGATTTAATATGAAATATAATTACAACAACACCCTGGCTCCCAGGGTGCAAGTCTGGACCCTCAGGGGCTGTTGACAATGAATTTGGAGACCTAGCTAATGTGCACTTTCGTACTCCATGGAAACTCTCACTGAATACAATCAGATTAACAGACTAACACGCTTCTTTTTGTCTCCAACATGCTCACATAAATGGTATTCCTTAAAATTCAATTCTGTTCTTTCAGGTGATACCAAAGAAGAGAATAATGTAGCAATTGTTAGGAACCTAAGCATTAAGGAACTAGGTAAGGCTGGAATCACAGTAAATAATAACATTATGAATTTTAATATACTTGCACATGCACACATACACTAACAAACACACATACACATGCACATACCCACTGCAAGCATCTTGCTCAAGCAAAGTCTGGTCTTTAGCATACTTAAGAAGGTAATTCATTTATTTTGAATGTGACTTCATCAAATTGTAATAGGCCTACTGAATCCTTTTTGAGCATACACAGATATGGAATGTCAAGTTTTTATTTGATATCAATTTTTCTTTAGCTGATATCAAAGACACAAAGAGTGATGCTGAGGGCAGCAAGGAGAGAGGTAAGACAGTAAGATCAATTTAACAGGTGTTCATTTAACACACTTAAAAATGTAAAAACACACACAAACAGGCTCTCAGGCACAAACAGGGCCAGATTTAGGCCATCTTCTTGGTCTTCCGAAGATGTCCAGAATTTTTCACATTGATCAGGATTTAATTTTTTTGTCAGAAGACGGTCCATAATAAACATAATTTTCAAGACTTTCAGAATATATCTCTGGATCCACCCCTGACAAACACTGTTTAATTTTAAATCTTTGAATGTGTCTTTGACTATGTAAAATAATGTATTGAATCCTTGTTGTGCACAGGCATGGGATGTGTAATTTGTGTTCATTTTTTTCCTTCAGCTGATGTCAAAGACACAACAACTATGACAATGGAAGTGAAGGAAAGAGGTAAGACAGCAGGGTCAATAGAATAGGGATCTATTTATTACACTGATGACATGTGACTGTGCATGTACATGCACGCACACACACACACACACACACACACAAACCAAGGTACTGTACTTGCATGCATGTTGCACAAGCAAAGTCTGGCCTTTGACAGACTTAAGAAGATACTTTATCTTCTGAAAAATTAAGGCTTTTGCTGTGTAACGATTGAACACACATAATGTTGTCTTGAAAATTCGATTCAATTTGATACCAAACTAAAAGACAAGAACAATGTAACACTTTCAAAGACCCTAAGTATTGAGGAGATAGGTAAGACAGGAATCTCAGTAAAATAGTTATGACTTTTAATATACTTATGAAACATGCATGCACATACACATACACTAACAAACACACATAAACACACACACATTGCAAGCATGCTGCACAAGCAAAGTCTTTAGCATACTTAAGAAGAGAATTTATTTTTAAGTCAGTTAAGTAATTTGAATGTTTCTTCAACTAATTGTAATAGCGGATCCTGTTTGGACATGCACGAATATGGAATGTTTAGTTTTTATTTGATATCATTTTTTCTTTAGCCTGTATCAAAGACTCCGAGATTGTGTCAGATGCTCAGGGCATCAAAGAAAAAGGTAAGACAATAAGCTTAAAACAATTTAATGGGAATTCATTTACCACATTTAAAAATGTAAACACACAGATGGACTTTAGGGGGAGACTCTGACACAAAAACACTGAGTTCAAATTCACTGTTCAGTGATCTATATCTTTGAATGGGTCTTTGACTATGTTAAATAATGTATTGAATTCTTGTTGTGCACAGGTATGAAATGTTTAATTTGTTTTCCTGTCTTTCTTCAGTCAGAATCAATGACACGACAATTGTGAAAGCAGACGTGAAGGAGAGAGATAAGACAGTAGGGCCAATAGAATAGTAGGGTCAAAATTTATTACGCTGATTGAATGTGATTGTGCATGTACACGCACGTGCACACACACTAACACACACACTCCTTATGTTGTGCCAACACAGTTTGCTACTGCTTGTTGTTGCACAAAATCGACAAACACATTTTTCAAAGCAACTGCGTCCGCCATTTACTTTCTAACTTCCTACTGCGCATGCGTCAAAATAAGAATCTCCTCCGAGTGCAGCTGAGAATTAATTACAGCTTTGGAAGTAATTCGCTCGCTCTGCTAGTTAATTACGCAGCGGGGTATTCAGGGCACAGACCGTGATCACTAGATACCGCCAATAGATTTTTAGAAAATAGATTTTTCATGTGAACGGTCCCTTAGTGAGTAATATTGTCTTATACATTTCAGCTCGAAAGGACCACCGCCAATCTAGATGGAGGAGGGTATTAAATCTGTTCACGTCTTGCTTCAGACGCAGGCCAAGAACATAAATGGTTATTATTGTTATTATGATAATTATTTATTAAATAAATCTCATCACTTCAGACATTTAGAAATAAGGAAAATTCAGAAGTACTTTTAATAGAACAGATTTATTATATATTTACAAAAAGATTTTTTGTTTGTCTCTTTGTTTTAATGGTATCATAGCTAAGTAAGCTTTGTTTTTTAGAGGAAAAATTTGACTGCATTCCCATAGATTTAGATCAATCCATATAGAACGACCTAACTCCCTGGGGGTTCATGCTAAATTGCAGTCAGCCGAGCGCGCACGGTAGTTAATTACCCCCTTACAGCTTTTAGTAGGCGGGACAGACATTTAAGCCCGCTAAGCTGACAGTAATCCAGTGAGACTCCCCACAGGGATAGATAGATCTAAAATCTGTAGGAATGGGGTCTTTGTCTAACAGATGGTAAAACTGCACATGAAAGCAGGAATTATATGATAGCAGCCAGGAGCTGGTGGTTGTAGACTTACTGTTAACATCTTTTTACAACTGATAGATTATATTATATATTTCAATATTTTCATCTTTAATTTTTCAGAGTCGTCAGTGCAGAACCATTTAATGCCTCAGTAGCAGCCACTTAAAAAACTTCAAAATGTCATTCTCTTAATTTCAAAATAAAATATAAATTTTGTGCATTTTGTTTTTCTTTCTTTTCTTAAATGAGGATACCATTGGGGAGGGGTGATCAAAGTTCATGGGAAATAAAATCATCAATTCAAAAATTTACTAGTCACGAGAAGTGCTTCACGGATCACCCAAAGTAAATGGTGGTTACAGTGGAGGAATACGAAAAAACTATGTTATTGACGCTGCCAGTAAAATAACGAGAGATCTCCCCCAACTGGATGATATCTTGGAAGACAGAATGGAGAAAACAACAAGACAAATTATGGGGATCCCACCCATTCAGCAAATTCTTTTTTTTTTTAATTGTTACCAAGCAGTAGCAAACTTTTGACACACAAGGGCAGTAAATGTTTTTTAAAGTAGTTTTTGCCTCTCTGCAGTATCTAATATTAATTCTTCTTTTTAGCCTAGTTTGTAAATATTATAATGTCCAGTTCTTTATTTAGTTTGACCTCTCAAATGAAAACAATTTATGATATTTATATTTTGATATTCTTATTGGCTGAATAAATTACATCTTATTTCACTTGGTGGAAAAAAACAACAAAAACATAAAATGCCCTTTACTGGACTTTTATTGGTAGACGCGTCCACAGCTGCCATAAGCTTACAATAATCATTACAATACAAATCACTTCTCACACACATTTCTCAAAAACATACCCAGATATATCTTTGGATATTTGATATCCTTATTGTGAACAAGTATGGTTTCCATTTTTTTCTTTAGTTGATGCCAAAGACACAAAAACTGTGACAGAGGATGTGAAGGAGAGAGGCGAGACAGCAGGGTCAATAGAATAGGTATCTTTTTATTACACTGATAGAATGTGACTGTGCATGTATGCACACACGCTCCTTATGTTGTGCCAACACAGTTTGTGCTTTTTCCAAGTTTAAAATGATACTTGGCAAGTTTGTTTATTCTTAACAGTGTTCGTGTGTCATTGCACCTTCATACATATAGATTATGTTCCACTGATGGCCTATTGAAGGTTATATATTATTGCATCTCATAATGCCCCCTTTCTGGCCAATTTTAATTAATTATATGTGATATTCAGTAAGTGATGGCAGCATTAATATATATTCAGTTAACTACTAGTAGAAGAGCACTGTATCTACCTTCAAATAATAGTTTTACAATTTCATGTGCATGTAATCCAAATTTTCTATTTGTTCTTCAGTAATTCACATCCAAACTCTCCAAAACTCTACATTAATTTCAAAGATACAATGCCATCCAGTCCCTGTTAAATACCAGTGAACTGCAAATACAAATACCTGAGTTTTTGGTATCAAAAATGCTACACAAAGCAACCCAAAAGGAATATTAAAACTCTAAACAGATTTAGATGCATTTCTTTTTTTTTTGTTAACTGTATTTATAAGACCTCATTTGCATTTAAACTATATAATGTACCGTAAGGTCCATTTCTTTAATTCTCCGGAATAAGAATTACTCAATAATAGTGTTTGTAAAAGCAGAAACTAGGTAAAATACTTAATGGTTCAACATTTTTAAAGACTAAAAACTGAAGGACAAAAGTAGACACCTTATTATCTGTTGTTAAAATACTGAACATATGCTTCTCTTATGGCTTTGGCATCATACTGTCTCATGTCATGTCCTGGTTGGTATCCGTTATGATTTCGATCTTCTTCCACCAAGTCCATCCACTCCTGGTCAAAGCCTTCATTGTGAACCAGAACAACATTATGCAGTGTTAAGCATGCCAGGATGAGCACTGGCACAAATTCAGTTTCAAAATCTAGCCTGTGTTGAAGTATCTGCCATTTCCCTTTACATCTACCCAAACACCCCTCAATGCACATTCTTCCTCGAGTGTGGCAATAGTTGAAGTTCTTTTGAGCTTGAGTAAGTACATCGAAGTCTGAAAATGCTTTTAACAGCCAAGGTTTGAGGGGATAGGCAGGGTCACCTATAATCAAAATGGGCACTTCTACTCCATTTATCAGTTGACTTGACGGGGGGAATAAAGTCCCACTTTCTGCCTTTTGAAAGATGCTTGACTGTGCTAGTACTTGTGGATCTTGCACTCGTCCTGGCCAGCCTGATACCACATGCAAGACTCTTAGTTCATGATCACATATCACCTGTAATGAAAAGTTGAAAAAATATACAAAATGTGACAAAACTAAAATAATATTATAATAAATGCTGCTTCTAAAATCTAGTGAAAAAAAAGCCACATATAAATTAGAGCTGAACTCAACCTCCCAACATTTGAACACATTCCAAGACTATGAGGTTCTAATAACACAACTTAACACCACCAAAAAGTGTTGTAAAGTAATGAGGATATTTTTCATGTGTATTTGTAAGAGGGGTGGGAGTGGAATAGGTGTAACTGTACTTATTGGACACCTTTTGGCTATTAAAGGACCAAGGATCCTAGAGAGAATCATGCACGCTGTATATTTATTCTCCTTTACCTGACTAACAATGGAATAAAAACATTTCCTGTTGTAGTAATCAGTCTTGTTTTGGCTTGGAGCAATAATGGGCACGTGTGTTCCATCAATAGCCCCTGCACATTGTGGAACACCCCATTTGGCCTCAAATCCCTCCACAATATTTTGTAGTCTTCTCCCAGTGGGCATCTGAATGAACTTAGGAGAAAGATGGGTGGCTATGGCCTGCACAGTTTCTTGGAAAATGGTGCAGGCTGAAGATATCCCAATTCCAAACAAATGCCCAATGCTTCTGTATTCCATACCAGTGCCACATATCCACAGAGTCACTGCAACCCTGAGTTCTACTGAATGACATCTAGGAAAAACATAAATTTGAGTTGTTACTGCAAATTATTATATATAATGGCAATTTCATAGTCTTGGTTATGAATATAAAAATACTTTGCCTTACAATTTTCAATAACGGCAGCAATTATCCATAATATTTTCCCACATTAGTTGTATTACTGTTAAATGTTACAGACATTTTTATGAATAATCTCCAACTTGGGCTAAATTTTGTAAACAAAAAAATTTGGAACTGAATTTTGCACAAATGCAAAATCGGTCATATGTCTTTCATACAACAAATAACATAACATGACTGTATAATTGCATACTACTTGTCATTAGCCTTTAGATCAACAAGAAGACACCACAGTAAATTTTAAGTTTTGCAAACATTATGAGCAATCATATACATGCATTCCTGCTCTTTATATTATCCCTCAAGAATGTGCTGCCACTTACTTTCTGTGGGAGTTTTTCTCCAGAAAAGGTCTAAGTTCATGGCAAAGAAACTGGAATGTTGCTCTTTTCATACAAAAATTTTCCATCCAATCTCCATCCGTAAAAGTCCGCTTCACAATATGTTCCCACCAGTGGCTTGATCTAAAATGTAAATTTTGAATTTTATGTCTAGAAAAACAAACCCAGTTTTTACAGTACAGACAACACCTTTAGATTTTCCTTCATCGAGGTATAGATATTTTGGCTACCTATAGAAAAATATTTTAACTGTGCAAAATAAGACCAAAGTAAATACTAATGGGATAATGTGCAAATAATAAATTAGCACAAAAATTCATGCATTAGCTAGTTATAGTTAGTGCTAACGCATGAATTGTCGTGCTAATAAGAAATGTGAAAAGTATGAAAATCTAAAGTCTGGCGAGTGATCCACCAGGGGTATTGGCATGAAGTGATTTACATGTACCTGTGCTAACATACAGTGGCGAGTAGCAGTGAATTTAAAATACACCGATTCTGGTTAATTAAAATCTGGGTCCCGTAACTCAAAAGCATTAGCGATATCATTGAGGCTACACACTGGGTCGAGTATGGGCGAATTATGGAATCCATACGCTTGGTTTCATTTCTTTTGATTCTAATTTTTGAAGCAAATTTTATTCGCTCACCAAAACAAATCAAATGACGCATGTTACCCACTTTTCTTTCATCCAAACAGTTCGATCAGGCGTGGGGAACAAGGCAAACATCAGCATAAGAACGAACTGCGCCCTCTGACGAGACTGCATACGCAAAAATTCTGCCATCCTCTTCCTCTGTCTACTGGGGCTGGGTATCTCCGTGAACATCTCCGTGAATATCTTTGGTGACATTACCTCCGTAGATAGCCGATTCATTGCTGCTCTACGGGCCAATTCATTCCTTTTTCGTCTCTGTTTTGAAAGATAATAGAACAGAAGAGCTTTTTTCCTTCGATCGCCTCCAGCCGCCATGCTTTCTTCACCTCGAGTTTGTTTAATTGATGAGCATGCGCACTTAATATTTCTCAGGTAGCTTCCGCATGGCGTAAAGGGAACCGGAGAAGATCAGCATTGGTCAGAATTGTGCCGGAAGTGACGTGCAGTGGTGTTAGAAACGAAGTTGAGTGGTCATTTTAACATTGAGGTGAACGGCAGTGAAGACGGGTTGTCGGAGGAAAAAGAAGTTTTCTAAACAACATGGTAAGATAACACTTTTCCTTTAGGCATTTTGGGCAGAGAAAACTTGTAGAAATAATAAATGCATAATATAAAAACGTGACACGGAACTTGAAGGTGCAAAATCGTGCTTAATTGGCGGTCAACTTGTTTTAAAATGAATGCTGCATCGACCGCCATTGCGACAAAGAGTGTAAATGGAAAATAATTCCCGGGAGGCTGTAAATCGTTGCCATGTGGAAATTTGGCATTAATATAATCCGATATGTCCACATCTAAGTATTTTTTGGGTGTTTTATGGTATGGGCTGCAATAAGAACGAAGTTTTAGAGGTCTTGAAGGACCTTGTGAAAACAA